GCAGACCTTGCAGCAGACTGGACTTCTTGGGAGTTCGCTCCTTGTGGTGGGATACTGTAGCTCCACTTTTTTGGAGCTTTCCCTGAGTCCTCAGAGATCTTTAACTTCTTAAGTGAGACCTTAGCCAAAGGGGCACTGAATCTATGTGGAGATCGATGTATGGGGAGGGGGTGAGTGTCTGTCTTCTGAGCTGAATCAGAAGTTGGTCGAAGGAAGTGCTCTATGAGTAGCAGCTTCAGTTTTGTCTTCCAGTTCTTCCAAGCTCTAGATTTTAGGTCCCGGCAAAAGTTACACTTTTGGGAGATATGGAACTCTCCCAAGCAATGGATACACTTAGAATGGCCATCGCTTATTGGGACAGCCTCCTGACAAGAGAGTCAGGATTTGAAACCTGGCAAGCCAGGAATGCCTTTCCATGTCAAATAAGCTCCCCAGAAAAAATGGGTGAGAAAGGGGGAGAGAGGAGGTTAGGAAAAACGGAAACCTCTCACAACTATATACCAACTAACTAACTAAACAACAACTACAAAACATGCTGACGCATGCACAAGGCAAACACGCTAGAGCTCCACCTCAGGTCGAGGTGACAGAAAAGGAACTGACGGGTTCGCCTGAGCAACCCTATATGCCCTTGGAGCACAGCATGAGGTTGCACAGAGCACACGTGGGCCAGACAGACACTTAACAGAAAATCTCTAATCAAGGGCTCGAGATGCACAGGCACACCTGAAGTAGAGCATCTATAGGGGCCCCTCTTGAAGAAGAAGCAGTAGTACACTGCAAGCAGCAGCCGCGCAAACTTCCCCTTACTACTCTGCCACCCGTGACTTGAAGGGAGCGCCTTTAAAGGCAAAAGGGAAATTCATCCTCCACAGCCCTCTGGCCTCTCTTTGGAGACTGCCGAAGAAGGGACTCAGTAGTATCAAGTGGGGTGGTGTTTTGGCCCAAGACCACAAACTCATTTTACAAAGGCCATTGAACAGTCATCTGATGGAACTCTCTCTTGATTTGAAAGATGTTTTCATACTGGCTATGAAACAATCTGGTGGGGAGTTTTCTAGACTTTTTTTTAAATTTACATTCACTCAATTGCCAAGAAATATACAATACAAATATTGTGGTCAGATATTACAATGAGATGGCTGCACTTTAGTATGCAATTAATCTACATAGTTTTTGAGGAACTATAACAATTCCTATCAGTGCTGCTGATAAAGAGAGACTTAAAACAAAAAAAGGTGATGGGTTTTGATCTTTTTCAAAGCAGAGAAACCAATATTAAAGACATTCTCTATTAAAATCAACCATTGTCCTGAACAAACACTCATTAAGTGAGTTGTTGGCAGTAGTGGTGTGGTCATATGCGGTGAAGGATAGGTAGAGCTGTGTCTCCCTCACTGTTAGCACTTGAGTCCATGCTTTCTGACCAGTTCACCTAATGGCTCTATGTATATGTTGAAAAGGACTGGCACGTGAATGTGCGGAGCAAAGCACAATTCAATTCCCACTACATTTCTGAGACAGGCAAGTACAACTATTCCCATTTTACAGATGGGAAAATGGAGAAAGAGGTTTAGTAATTTTTTCCACTGCTACAACGCTGGGGTTAAAGTGCAGCAGTTCCTGACTACCAGTCCGGTGATAAATCCATAATACACTTTGTTCCACTGGATAAACCCAGAGATTAAAAACAGGCTATCAGTATACCAGAGAAAACTGTAACAATGTAAAACTACAACTGAAGACAGATCCATTGACATTGTGTTTTACTCTCCAGTCAGTTAAGTGAAAAATCAAATTTATTTGCAAATTAGCAGATTTGCTGGCTCAATTACTATCAACTTCTCATGGCAGAAAAATCAAATGTGAATAAAAATATCAAAGAAGTTTATTATGAGAGTATGCAGGGATATAAGATGGCATGTCTGTCTCTCTCTCTCACACACACACACAAAGTTGTTTTCAGATAATTGGCTCCCTGGTCAAGATGTTCCCTGAAAAAAACAATGAGGAGTCCGGTGGCATCTTAAAGACTAACAGAATGTAATCTGTTAGTCTTTAATGTGCCACCGGACTCCTCGTTTTTGTGGATACAGACTAACATGGCTACCCCCTGATACTTGATGTTCCCTGATTATCCATGAGGGAGAAAGGATGGTTTTGTGACTAAGACAAAATATTTGTTCTATTCCTTAATCTACCAGAGATTTGCTGTTTGACATTAGGTAGGCTGCTTCACTTCTCTGCCTCATTTATCTATCTGTAAAATGAGAATAACACTATTTCACAGATTAAAGACACAAGGGACCATTATAATAGTTTAATCTGGCCTTCTGAATTACACACCCTATAGAATTTCACCCAGCGAGTCCTTGTGGTTCAACTTAAAAATGCTGCTCTTGGAAACAGCAGCCAGAGCCTGCATTCAGACAGCCTCTGTTGACCCCATCCTTGCCAGTTATATTCAGGAGGAAACTCCTTTCTATGAATGATTTTGAATTCTTATGAACTGATGTTCTAACAGATAAAGAACAAGATGGGGTATTAGCTGGTGTCTGCTACAGACCACCAAATCACACTAAGGAAGAGGGTGACTGGCTCCTTACGCACCTCTTTAATATGTATGAAAAACAGCTGTGCAATCACTGGAGACTTCACATCGAGCGACATATGCTGGAGGTCTCACGCTGCCAGTATTAAAACAACCTTGGTATTTCTAATTACAGATGACAATTTCTTAACTCAAAAAGTAGGAGAATTCTATTGGAGATTTTATCTTGACAGATAAAGAGAAACTGATCACAAAACTAAAATTAATGGTACCTTTGATACAAGTGATCATGACTTGATATTTATAATGTGAAAACAGAATAAAGATCAGACCAGTGACATATATACCTGGTGCTTTAAAACAGCCAATTTCATAAACAAGTATGAGCCAAGTCTGCTTGCAGGAAGAATTTAATCAGAAAAACACTTCACTAGTTGCTCAAAAAGCCACAATCCCACAACTGAGCAAGCAGGCCATACTGGTTAAAAAACTGACCTGGTTTAGAGGGGAAGTGAAGGTAGGTATAAATTAAAAAAAATAAATAAATAAACTGAAGAAAGAGGAAGCTGAATGTAATAAATACAAATGAGAAGCTAGGAATTGTAGAAAATGGGTAAGGGAAGCAAAGGGGTCAAGGAGAAATCTATGACCAGGAGACTTAAGTACAATAAGGTGTTTAAATATACTAGGAACACATTACTAGACAGGAATGGTATTAGTCCACTGCTAAGTGGAAATGACAGAATTATCGATAATGCAGAAAAGGCGGAAATTTTCAGTAAATTTCTGTTCTGTATTTGGGGGAAAACCAGATGATATAGTCATATAATATGATAACACTCTCTCCATTCCATTAAATATTTCAGGAGGATGTTAAATAGTAGCTACTAAATTTAGACATTTTTAATCTACAGGTCCAGTAAATTTACATCCAAGAGTTCTAAAATAGCTGGCTGTGGAGTCGCTGGACCATTAATGTTGATTTTCAATAAGTCTTGGAATACAGGGGAAGTTCTGGAAGATAGGAAGAAGTCAGTGTTGTGCCAATATTTAAGAAATCAATGGATTTATGAAAAACAGATCCTGTCAAACTAACCTCATTTTTTTTTAAAAAAAAAATAAGATTACAAGTTTGGTTGATTAAAGGTAAATTTTGATGCAACAGACTTAACTTCTGTAATGCATTTGACTAGGCACCGCGGTGGATAAAAATCAATGATTTAAAAAAAAATTTTTTTTTTTAAATCTGCTTTTTTTATTTAAACCAGTTTTTTGATTAAACACTTTGAGGAAAAAACCTATTTAAAGATAGTTTTAATTAAGATACATTATAGCTCAAAGATATCTCATCATGGAATAAGGATTATAAATTCTAATTCTATAGTATGAGACAATATATTCATGTAATGTTTAAGAAAAGTTTTGTAAATGAGTTCCAATAGTTCATGGATTAGGGACCCAATCTTATGGAGTTCCAGGGGCTTCTGTATAGATTATTTACGTTAATCTTTCTATCTACCCAATGGGACTCAGTGCTCAGTCTAGAACAGGGATCTCAAACACACGGCCCACAGGGTTCTTTCATGCGGCCCACCAAGCTCCCCGTGGCCCCCCGCCCCCCGTGTGCCCCTCTGCCTACCCCATGGCGCTGCGAGCCCCGTGCTGCTCCCTGAAGCGGCAGGAACCATGCCCCAGCGTCCCCGGGAGTGGGGGGATGGGGGCCGAGGGCTCCGTGCGTTAGTCTCGCTTCCAGGCACCACCCCCCGCAGCTCCCATTGACTGGGAAAGGGGAACCACAGCCAATGGGAGCTTCGGGGGAGGTACCTGGAGGGAGCCGTGTGCCCCCTGCAGAGACGCGGTTCTGGCTGCTTCCTGGAGCGGAGCAGCCTGGCGCAGCACCAGGGCAGGCAGGCAGCAAGCCTGCCCTGGCCCCTGTGCGCACCGCTGCCACCCCGGAGCCACTCTAGGTAAGTGGCGCCGGGTTGGAGCCTGGACCGCGAGCCCCTCCTGCACCCCAACCCCTGCCCGGACTCCCTGCCCTGAGCTCCCTGCGCCCCTCCTGCACCCCACACCTAACTCCCTGCCCTGAGCCCCCGCCACACCCCTCCCCCTGGAGGCACGGTTGGGGTGGGGACTTCGGGGAAGGGGTTGGAATGGGGGCAAGGAAGAGGTGGGGCCTCATGGAAGGGATGGAGTGGAGGCGGGGCCGGGGGCAGCAAGTGGGGGCAGGAGGGTGTCAGTGATGCAGCCCTTGGGCCAATGCACTAGTCCTCATGTGGCCCTCGTGGTCATTTGAGTTTGAGACCTCTGGTCTAGAAGATACCATCAGAGATGCTTTAGTTCTCAAACTGCGGATTTGTCTCTCTAGAGATAACATGCTTGTTAACAGCAAAAATGTTTTAAAATAAATAAACAGATAGATAAATAAATAAATAAAGGTGAGAAATAACAGACCTCAACCCTATTGTCCCTCTGCAAATTTGTGTACACAGAGTCAATCCCTTACCTCTCTCTAAATGTGCACAGTTTCAAAACATTCAATGAATAGAAGATTGCTGGGGGCGGAATAGATCTGGACAAGGAGAAGTCTGGAGATAAATGTGAGAAGGGAGGGACAGGCAGTAGAAACAAAAGTGAAACTGTTTGAGCAGCATATTCCAGAAGTCTTGAGGTCTTTCTGAGTTTAGACTTCATTGATTTGAGATCTACCATACCATTCTCTCACTAAAAGGGAAAACCTTTTAGCAGCAGGCAGCAGGCCGTAAAAGAGACCTAGTTTGGGAATATTTTAATGAAGTTCCTCTACCTGCGGGTAAGTCAGGCATGCATGCAAAACGCAAACAGTGCAGCAAAGAAATGCAAGGCCTGGTTGCCTGAATGAAACATCATCATGAGAAGTGTTCCTTCTCAGGAGGAAACTGCATTAAAAATGATGAAAGGAACATATCTGAACATGCACATCCATATCTTCAGGTTGGTAAACTTTTTTATTTCATACTTCCTTCTTAAGGACTGCCTGTCTTCCTTCAGGACTATTCTTGAATTCTCATGTTTGAGGAAAAAATATGGTTGTTAGTTACTCTATGGTACTATCATTATAGATGTGGTTGTGATAAAAAATAAATAGCCGAAATAAGCAATTTTACAATTTCACCTTTAAAGTAGTACTGAGCGTCAGCGAATGCAATGAGTAATACTAAATGAGCAGTATGGTAATAATAATTAAATCACGGCACTGACTTATTTTGTTTAGAAGAATCCATCCTCAACATACAGGATTCTGAAGACTATCCACATTCAAGATCACCATCATTTTCTATAGTTTCAGAGTTATCTGCCAATGATAGTGTTTCAGTCACATCATGTATGTCACATAGCCACAGTATACCACCTGTAGCAAAAAAATAAAAATAAATCTCCATCATCCAGAAACAACCATAGGTAAGTTTGTGATAAGAACCAGCCGATTTCAAAAAGAGGTAATTGATGAAAAAAATTGCCCTGTTTGTTTATGCAACAAACTCTCCTTTCTGTATGATTGAGAACTCACACTTTATTAACATGGTTCAGTCATTAAGACCAGGATACAGTCCACCCAACAGAGCAGATGTCGCAGGCGAATTGCTGGATAAAGTGTATGAAAGAGAAAGAGAGCAGTGTGCAAAAGGTGTAGAGGGTAAAATTGTTAACCTGAGTCTTGATGTGTGGAGCAGTGTCCACAATATTCCTGTTGTATGTGCTTGTGTGACAAGAGAAGAAGGGAATGTCTTCCTTACAGAAACAATTGATACGTCAGGAAATGCACACACACTGCAGAATACTTATAAGTAGCAGCAGTAAAAGCTATAACTGTGAAAAAAATTCAAATGTCTATTATGCAGCCTGGTCACAGAGAATGCTGCAAATGTATCCAAGATGAGAAGAAATTTAGGAGAGAATGAAGAGCGTCCCAAGCTAATAACATGCAGGTGCAGTGCTCATTTGATGCACCTCCTAGCCAAAGATTTCAGTATTCCAGAAATAAAGGCTAATAATGTTGAAATTGCAAAATACTTCTGTAACAACCACTTTGCAGCAGCAGCTCTGAAGAAGTGGGAGGAACCAAGCTAACTCTCCCACAAGAAGTGCGATGGAACTCTGTAGTGGACTGTTTTGAGCACTGTATCAAGAACTGGCCTAATCGGATGACAGTTTCTGAACAAAATTTTTTTGCTTTTTTAAATATTTCATTTAACTATTTTAGTTAACAATTTTAACAAAAACAAACCTGATTTTAAAAAATGTGAATCTTTAAATTAAAAAATTCATATGCTTGTTTTGTTAAAATATTGTATGTTTGCTGTTGAAAAAAAAATCCAGAATACATAACGTTGTTGTTTTAGTTAAATAAAACCATTTAAATATCTGTCTGATGATGCTCTCCTAATACAGCATGGCAGGAAAATCCTCCAAATATTAATGATTAACCTGTTGAATTCGAGATATTTATGAAGTCATTGGGAGCTAAACTATCTGTTTCAATTACCTTTGGTAAATGAAATAACTAAACAATCATTCATTTTCCGATATAGCTGTAAAACTAATCTGAAAAATTTTCAAAATAAATCACTTTAAAAATGTATAGTGTACACCTTCTAAAACTGAAACCTACGTATATCTGAGTTGTGAAGAATATGTATTAAGGTTATAACAACCAACAAGAACGCACTTTTATGTAGAAATCCATGATTAAACCAAGTCTTCCTGACTAGTGATTTAAATCATGACTTAATTTCAATTTGATTTAAATCAAATCTCCCCTGCCAAGCACTCAACTGTGAGTGTGTCAGTGGAGCACTTGGGAGCAATAAGCACTCATAACCCATTCTTTCTGGAGCATTGCATGTCAAGCTTTATTGCTTCTGGCCTCTAACTTTGTCTAGACTAGGAATTAAGAGGTGCTTCAGAAAAAGAGTTGGCTAACACATCAACAGTCCAATTTACACAAGGCAGTGTACATTTTAATACATACTAACCTGGTCAAGATGAAGCATACCTTCAATTTGACCAGCCTGGCATATATTAAAATGTAAACTGCCTTGTCTACACTGCCATTTTAGAACATGTCAGCCAACATCTAACACAACATACTTTTGAATCCTAATCTAGAAAAAGCCTGTGCAACAAGTCAATATGTAATCTTGTAATACACCCATATAAATATAATATAATTTATAATAATATAAATGTAATATAAAGTTGCTTTAGCTACCTTTTTTACTTGTAAATCTCAGTTAAAAACAATTTGATTCCACTCAAACTAACCAAGCTGCTTTTGAGCTACTCTAGGACTATGAGCTCAAGTTTCTTACACAGGTTATTTTCCTGATGGCAATAACAAGCAACAAGGCAAGTTTCAGGTCATAGTGACTGATTCATTTATCATTAGTTTCTTTAAAGATCAAGTGGTGCTGGACATCCATCTCAAATCAGACTAAGGCCTTTAGAAAGTCCATCCAGCTTTTTAATTTTATTTGACACCGAGTAGGTTCTATAGTCTCCAAGAGCAAGACATCTAACTGGCTGGCTGAATACAGCTTTCATTGATACAGCTTGGCAAGCCTAGGTATGGAGGATCATGTTAAGGGCCATTCTCTGAGAGGCAAGTATGCTGCCTCCTATGTATTTATCTATACAGAAGATTCACAAAGTAACCAAAACTATCAAATGCAGATTTAAGGGTTTTCTAACTGCATATTTTTTCATCTTGCCTCAGCTGGCTATTATAGGAGTATTTTCATGTTTCAAAGAAAGTCCCCATGTGAGCAATGGAACAACCCTTGGAAACCTCCAAAGGCTGAGGTGAGATGCCTGCTAGATCCAATGGCTTAGAACTGTAAACCCAGGAGCAGGAACTGATTGAGATAGATATCTTCAGAACAACTATAATTATGAGATTCTAATTACCTCTCTGTTAGCTACCAACCGCGAAATAGGAAGGCTTCAAAATTCCATACAGTTTAGAAATGGTCATCCAACCTCTTTAGCAATGGTAATGACTTGTACAGAGTATGAAAGAAACATAACAGGTCTTTAGGAGAGCCAAAGAAAAAAAGCAAAACAAGTTATTCACAAGTTAAAAACAAAAAACAAAAAACTGATGACTACCTACACCACAGGACGTATCATTATTTAAGATCAGGAAAATGAAAGCTGAAATGAATTATAAAGAAAAGTTAAACCATTAATGAACAGAGAGTATGATAAGACTAAGTTATTCACTATCTTATGTGATTTGTGAACTTATTTCAGTAAGTCTTATTATTGATATAAGATGTGCTAAAAAGACAGTCTCCTTCTGCATTACTCTGTATTGCTGCATAAACACTGCATTCATGTTTTTCCTAAAGTCTAACCTGTTTCTCCACAATGTTCATGAAGTAGGAAGGGGTGCAGGAGGACAAATCACACGGTCTCTCTCCAGAAGGGACCTTCTGGATGGAAGAGGAGGAATGTGGTAGTCCCTTATTCCTTCTGGAATTCACCACTGATGTGGAACTTAATCGGCCCTGCTGTTTCATCAAATCTTCAGGCTTCTGATCACCACCAAGGACAACTGGACCCTAGGGAGAGAAAATGACACTGGATTCATCATCTGCACAGAGTTTTGGAAACTGCAGTATAAAGAATTAAAGCATCCTCAAGAAATAACCACCAGGGGAGTGAGTAAGTAAAATAAATAAAAACAGATAATTACGTTTTCATAAAAAACCCTGATCAGTATGAGTCATTGTTTACTTCTGAACTAGAAGCAGCTTAACTCCTGTAGGAAACAGAAATGTTTCTAGTCCCATTCTAATGCTACTGTGCTTTGCCTTTTTCTAGAACACTAAAGAAGCAGTGAGAAAACTAACTATAGAATGTAAATAATACGCAAACTCTGAAGCAGTTACGATTGTCTCTCCTTCAACAAACCCACAAAAACAAGGAAATGAAAAGTAAGCCACTCAACAGTACAAAGCCTCTACACCTCCACCCACAAGCAAACATCTTACCATTACCAGAACATACATCAAAAACTGCAGGCCCCAGTCTTTACTCTGCCTTCCACTTCCACTATTCTGACACACCCTTTACTCCTGGGGAAACTGTGCACCAAAATATTAAAAATTCTGTGCACAATATTTTAAAATTATGCATATTTTATTTGTAAAAACAACTATATAATTACACCAGTTTCAATTATTTTGGTAATTTATTTCAAAATACCAGTCAGCAAGTATGTCTAACAATACAGACACCAAAAAAGATTCAGGAAATGTTTTTTGTCAAACAGATTCCTTATTAGACATATTAATACTGAGTAATAATTAATTTAAAACAACAATACCAAAATGTATTTCCCACACCCCTCAGAAGCAGTGCAAAGGCTTGGGGGAGTTTTCAAAATCCCTCTTGCAAACTTCCTTGAACCTTAGCCCAGGTTGGCTCAGTGGCCTTGGAGCATCCTCAGGCTCTCCATACAGGAGAACATAAGAACGGCCATACTGGGTCAGACCAAAGGTCCATCTAGCCCAGTATCTTGTCTTCCGACAGTGGCCAATGACAGGTGCTTCAGAGAGAATAAACAGAGCAGGTAATCATCAACTGATACATCCCCTGTCACCCATTCCCAGCTTCTGGCAAACAGAGGCTATGGACACTATCCCTGCCCATCCTGGCTAATAGCCATAGATGGACCTATCTTCCATTAATTTATCTAGCTCTTTTTTGAACCCTATTATAGTCTTGGCCTTCACAACATCCTCTGGCAAAGAGTTCCATAGGTTGACTGTGCGTTGTGTGAAGAAATACTTCCTTTTGTTTGTTTTAAACCAGCTGCCTACTAATTTCATTTGATGACCCCTAATTCTTGTATAATGAGAAGGAGTAAATAATACTACTTTATTTCGTTTCTCCACACCTATCATGATTTTATAGACCTCTAACATATCCCCACTTAGTTGTCTCTTTTCCAAGCTGAAAAGTCCCAGACTTATTAATCTTTCTTCACATGGAAGCTGTTCCATACCCCTAATCATTTTTGTTGCCGTTTTCTGTACCTTTTCCAATTCCAATATATCTCCTTTTGAGATGGGGTGACTACATCTACACGCAATATTCAAGATGTGGGTGGTACCAAAGATTTATATAGAGGCAATATGATAGGTCCTTTGGAATGCACCTGGTACAGATGACCAAGGCAATGAAGATGCCTGTGGAGCAGTCTTCCTGGCTTAAGGACCTATTGCTTTCTTGATGCCATCATACGTATCTCTTAGACCTCCATTCTCAAGGACATTTCACAGAATCATAGAAGATTAGGGTTGGAAGAAATTTCAGGAGGTCATATAGTCCACCCTCCTGCGCAAAGCAGATTTGTATCTTCTTGCACAAATAGGGCCATGTGTGATTAAGCACATTGCTTTGTACTGGTTGCAATGTGCCCTTGGCCAATCTGAGGTTAATACATGCATCAGGAGAGGGGTTCATGTTGTGCTGGAGGAATGCTGTGCATTTTGCCTCCATGACTAGGAGCATTTCTTCAGAATATGCCAATCTTTATCTTGTACCATCTTTTTATCAAAGGCTAAAGTTGAAGCTGTATAGATATGTCTTCCAAGTGTATTCCATGCTGCATCAGCATTCAGGGAGGTATAAACAGAGGACATATCTTCCCTGAGATATGTAATACATTGGCAACACTTTCACATCAGCAACACAAAAGACCAAGGAATGTGTAGGCAACAGCTTTCTTTAGTATGATGGAATTTCCATAGTGAAAATCTTGTTTTGCAGCATACAAATGCATAGTCTATGTAAGGCCTGGTCTACACTACGGGGTTAGGTCAACTTTAGCCACGTTTGTCGATTTAAAAATGACTGTGTCCACACAACCAACCCCATTCCGTCAACCTAAAGGGCTCTTAAAATCGACTTCTGTACTCTTCCCCGACGAGGGGAGTAGCACTAAAATCTACCTTGCTGGGTCGAATTTGGGGTAGTGCAGACACAAATTGACAGTATTGGCCTCCAGGAGCTATCCCAGAGTGCTCCATTGTGACCGCTCTGGACAGCACTTTGAACTCCGATGCACTAGACAGGTACACAGAAAAAGCCCCGGGAACTTTTGAATTTCATTTCCTGTTTGATCAGCATGGCAAACTCAGCAGCACAGGTGACCATGCAGTCCCCCCAGAATCGTAGAGCATAGAATGTTTCTACGCTCCCCCTATCATCTCCATCCCTGAGGTTATCGCAGATTAGAAGGCGAAAAAAACCCACTCGCGATGACATGTTTTCCGAGCTCATGCTGTCCTCCCGCACTGATAGGGCACAGCTTAATGCATGGAGGCATTCAGTGGCAGAGGCCAGGGAAGAATTAAGTGACTGAGAAGAGCGGAGGCAGGACGCGATGCTGAAGCTAATGGGAGAGCAAACGGACATGATGAAGCGTCTGTTGGGGGAGCAAATGACATGATGAAGCATCTGCTGGAGCTGCAGGAAAGCCAACAAGAGCACAGATCCCAGCTGCATTCATTGTATAACCGCCTACACTCCTCCCCATGTTCCATAGCCTCCTCATCCAGACGCCCAAGAAAGCAGAGGGGGAGGCTCCAGGCACCCAGCCACTCCACTCCAGAGGATGGCCCAAGCAACAGAAGGCTGTCATTCAAACAGTTTGATTTTTAGTGTGGCTACAATAAGCAATGTGGCCTTGTCCTTCCCTCCTCCCCCATGCCACCTGGGCTACCTTGTCCAGTATCTTTTTTTTTTTTTAAATTAATAAAGAAAGAATGCATGGTTTCAAAACAATAGTTACTTTATTTCGAAGGGGGGAGGGTGGTTGTCTTACAGAGAATTAAAAATCAACAAAGTGGGTGGGTTTGCATCAAGGAGAAACACATACAACTGTCACACTGAAGCCTGGCCAGTCATGAAACTGGTTTTCAAAGCCTCTCTGATGCACAGCGTGCCTTGCTGTGCTCTTCTAATCGCTCTGGTGTCTGGCTGCTCAAAATCAGACACCAGGCGATTTGCCTCAACCTCCCACCCCACCATAAATGTCTTCCCCTTACTCTCACAGATATTATGGAGCACACAGCAAGCAGCAATAACAATGGGAATGTTGGTTGCACTGAAGTCTGACCTAGTCAGCAAACAGTGCCAGCGAGCTTTTAAATGTCCAAAGGCACATTCTACCACCATTCTGCACTTGCTCGGCCTATAGTTGAACTGCTCCTTACTACCGTCCAGGCTTCATGAGCCATGGGAGCAAGGGGTAGGTGCGACCGCGCGGTGCTGCTGGCTGGGAGAGCAGCCTGACGCAGAAGCCTCCAGCTCACATGATATTCCAGTCAGGACTGAATCTCCATGAGACGAAACTTCAAGAAGAGAATGACTTGGAGTCTCTGGCTCCCATGTGGTGCTCTAAGAGGAGAAAAGCCATGTCTGTCCAGGCGCCCCTGATCAACATCACCAAGGTCTGCCAGGAGCACCAGGAGACGTATGGCAGCTATCAGTCCTACTGCACCATCTGCCGCAAAGGCAAGGAGCTGCTGCTGTGTAGCAATGCAGTACCACGTCTGTCAGCAGCACCTAGGAGACGTACAGTGACGGTGAGCTGAGCGGGCTCCATGCTTGCCGTAGTATGGCATCTGCCAGGAAAAAAGGCGCAAAATGACGGTCTGCCATTGGTTTCCCGGGAGGGAGTGGGGGGGCTGACGACGTACCCAAAACCACCCGCAACAATGTTTTTGCCCCATCATACATTGGGAGCTTAACCCAGAATTCCAATGAGCAGTGGAGACTGCAGGAACTGTGGAATAGCAGACAACAGACAATCGCTCACCTGATGGTAGCTTACTGATGACACTATGAAGCTGCTGATAGAATAAGTCCTTCTCTTCAGAAATGGAGAAAAGTGTTGGGACATATATGGATATTGGCAAAGCTATATATAGTAAGTATATTTAGTGATACATATGATGATGATATAATATAATATGTTCTGATATTACAACAGGACGTTCAACTTTGGGTGCTCATGAGTTTTGGACTGCAAAACCCACCCCGTATCCACGGTGGTCTTGTTTGCTTTTTCCATGCCAGAAAAAGATGTAATGCATCTCCCATAGAGATCCTGCATCAGCTAGTCTGGTTTCAGAGAAAGTGGTCATGTCAATGCAAATAAGGTGTCAGAGGTTTACCTTTGGACCAAAGTCCCCTTCTCAGCAATACAAAGGCTTGGAGACCAAAGACGTTTGGAAGCCAACAAATCTGCCAGAAACTCCAAAAGATAGAGCTGAGTTGCAGTACCAATCACATAATGTTTTCTCCACATAGAATTGGATCATTAAAGCAGTAGAATCCTCTCATATTCTATCTCCTTGTTGAAAATGCGCATTGTAATACAAGCCCTATGCCCGGATACCAACATAACCGATACAATTATGCACAGAAATGATGCATATAGTGCACCCTGAAGGAATACATGCACCTCTTCCCTTTTCTCACACGTAAGAGGGTGGAAAACATAGATTTCCTATCACAATCACAGCTCTGTCACACATCTCAAAGTAATCCACGCACTTACCAATAAGGCCCAACTATTGCCTCTCCATTTAGCATAGGTACATCTAACACACAACCTGCTCCTGAAATGTATGCAAGTAATTCCCGTTGGCTACTGCCAGCTCCAAGAGAAAAGAGAATGTGGCATGGGCAACAATTTCCCCCAACCCTGCTTTTGTCCTTTAATAGGGTTAGATGGAATCCTGTGAGCGAGAGTGAATGGACTATAAGAGATGAAGAACTTGTATATCTCAACAACTGTGAGATTGGCAGACTGTGTGTGTTAATGGGGCACTGCTTAGAGTGGACACAGTTAAGGTTTCATGGGCAACCTCAACGGTGGATTTCATGATTTTCAGAAGTTTGAAGTTTTGCTCAACTAGACATTCTGCAAGAGGATAACATACCACAAAGCAACCTTAACTCTGCATTAACAGTTTTTTGCTGCTGAACGTAGTCCAGCCCGTTTAGATATCTTTCACAGCTAACAATTTCATTACCAACCATTATACTTTTCTCTCTCTTTCTTAGAAGAGACTCTTGAGAAGAATTGGTCTGCTATTACAATTAAGTAGTGCATGACCTCTGCTAAAAGTTTAGATTGCTTCAAAACAGGTTTCAATATTTATTTGATACACTGATCATTTAGCACTGATAGATAGTTGAGGTCAACAGACAAAAGCTCCACTTATACTGAAACTACTAGATCTCTGAGGCCTCTTTGACGGTTGATCATGAGGTGCTGCTGACTCACTCTACCGAGATGTTTATACCATGCCCACCACCGTAGTATATAACACACATATTGTAGCAGTAAATTGGCTGTACATGTCCCTTTCCAATAGATCCCAGAAAATTATGATGGGCAGCTGTTTTTTTGGACAGCTCTTACCTGCAGAATCCTACAGGACCTGGGTCTTAACACCTCTGAAATGTTTAGACTATAAGCTTTTGGGGGCAGGGGTTATCACCTGCTATGAAAGTGTACAGTGTCTAGGCACAATGGGGTCACAATGACGACTAGGGCTTCTAATCTAGGAGCTATTATAATAAGTAATGTAAGCCACTGAGAGAGATCGTGAAATGCTATGGTACTTCGGTGTCATCGATATGTGAACAGCAACCAATTAGACAACTCTTCAGCAAAAGTAATATTGTTGCTAACAGCACCTGAACGAACTGGAGATCTGGAGTAAAAGCTGAAGATAAATCCTGGAATTGGAAGACCACTGATTGCCAGACAATCATTTGTGTCATAGCCATGGCATCTCTGATATACACTGTGGTTTCTTTGTTACATGCTCTTAGCTCAAGGATTCTTTCATCTTGAGTCTCCAGCTGATGCCCTAAGTCAGTTTTTGTCTGTTCTTCTCATTGTTCCATCAGCATGGATGAGGTGTGATGTAGAGCTGTTAAATGGCATTATAAGCCTGTAGGTAAGGGGAAACAATGGTACTCAAAATGAGCAAGTGTCATTTTTTGCTCAGTTCCAGAAATACTGCAACATGACTATGACTATTTATCAATGTTGATAAATGCATAGTAATACACACTGGAAAATACAATCCCAACTATACTACAGAATGATGGAATCTAAATGAGCTGTTACCACACAAAAAAAGAGATCTTGGAATCATTGTGGATAGTTCTCTGAAAACGTCCACTCAGTGTGCAGCAGCAGTCAAAAAAACATTAGGAACCATTAGGAAAGGAATAGATAATAGGACAGAAAATATCATAATGCCACTATATAAATCCATAGTACGCCCACACTTTGAATATTGTGTGCAATTCTGGTTGCCCAATTTCAAAAAAAGATATATTAGAATTGGAAAAGGTACAGAGAAGGGCAACAAAAATGATTAAGGGCATGGAACAGCTTCTGTATGAGGAGAGACCAAAAAGACTGGCATTTTTCAACATGGAAAAGAGGCAACTAAGGGGATACAATGGAGATCTATAAAATCTTGACTAGTGTGGAGAAACTCTCTTATTCACTGTTATTTACTCCTTCACATACCACAAGAACCAGGGGTCGGTCAAATTAATAGGCAGCAGGTTTAAAACAAATAAAACGCAGTACATCTTCATACAACACACAGTCAACCTGCAGAACTCATTGCCAGGGAATGCGGTGAGCACCACCTGGATCCGGCACCCCAACCCGCTGCCCTGAGCCCTCTCCCACACCCAAACTCCCTCCCAGCCCCTGAACCCTGCACCCTCTCCCGCGCCCCAGCCCCACACCCCCTCCTGCATCCCAACTCCCCCCCTTAGTTAATCAGCATTTTTCACTTACCAGCACCCCTCCTTCCCCCAACATGCCAGATGAAACAGCTTTTACTGTACTAATATAAAATGTTTTCACATAAGATAGTCTTAATTGTTAAAGTGTCTCAAAAGTGATAATAGTTTCTATACTTTCAATTGAAACTTGCTGATCAGATCAGTCTCATACTGAAGGTTGTGCCCCAGTAGCAGTAGACTGCATGCCCATAGTTTGCATTGCACAGGGGGTAGATATAAAAGTACATGAATTCCTAATGTAATGCTTCTCCATTTGTAAGCTTTTGTACATACAAGTTAAACAGCTAGTCTGCCTGGTAGAGGATTTTAATTTGTAATTACTATACATGCAGTATAAGCCTTTGAAATATTCTAAAAACTAGCCTTTTAATTCAGGTCAGTATTAGCGTTAGAGATGACAATACACAGCTTCGTATTATGAATATGCAAAACCTATGGGAGAAAGAAATAGCCTAACAAGAAGTAGTGAAGACAAAGTCCACAAACAAGTCCTTGCCTCTGCACTGAACAGGGATGAAGAGCATGTTGCAGCTCTTAACCATGTCATCAACAATATGACAAATCCATTTCCAGAGGGGCTTACCAACATACCTCTTGCATGTAACATGAGATGTGCAAGAGATTCTACTGAAAAAAGCAGATGCTGATGAAGAACAAATGAAGAGATTTGTAAGAGGTGCAGTTGATTCTGATGGGACATGTAGCTTCTTCAGCCCAGTCAAGAAATCTGGCATCAAAGCATTTACTGACTTGGCCAAGACGGCCAAATTTAAGTCCGGCAACTTCCCCAGAGCCATATCTTTAGCAAGATGTAGAGATGATGTTTCAATGGCAACTATTTCTCAGTCACCCAATAGGACCTGTGCATATGTCC